AGCGTCAGACATGTGAATGACTTAACTGAGTGGTTTAGTTTCATATCTCTGTGAGGCTGTGGTCAAGATGATAGCCTCTGAAGTATTAAAGGCCAAGATGATATCCTCTTTGTCACTCAAGTGGTAATTAGCAGGGGTCCTCAGGTCCTTCCTAGTCTTAGACAAGATAGTTTCTTACATGTGGGTCCCTTCTCAGGCTGCCTAGTACATTCTTGCCACTTGCTAATGATCTGAAGGGGCAGGGGCCTGCCTTTTGTACCAGGCTTTTCTTTTAGGCCACTAACCTGCTCCCATATCATGACATGGGGATTTAATAGTTTTGAATGCTTGGCCTAGTTTAGGCTCATTTTTAACAAGCTTTTAACTTAAGTTAACCAGTTTCTCTTTATCTGCTTTTTACTTTTTCCTTCTTTTTGTTTGTCTTACTCTATGTCTATCAGCTGGTGGTTGCCTGGCTTCTTTCTCCGAGTTCTTTCCTCCTGCTTCTCTCTCATTCCTTTGGAGCCTAGATTTCTCCTCTTACACAGTCTTTTTCCCTGCCAGTCCTACTTATCCCTTTTCTGCCTAGCTATTGGTCATTCAGCTTTTTATTAGATCAACCAAGTGCCTTAGGCAGGCAACATGAAACAAATGCAACACATCTTTACACAATTAAACAAATGCAGCACAAACAAAAGTAACACATAGTTAAAGTATTATTTTCCAGCATAAACAGATGCAGCACATCTTTGACTAGTTAAAAAAATTCCACAAAACCTTTTTATGACCCAATGTCAGAAATGACAGTTTAGCTTTGTCACCTTTGTTAGAACTAAGTTACTAACTGTGGGCCACACTGGAAAAGAATTAGACTCTAGTTTGTGAGGAAAGAAGTGTCCACAAATCTGTGAACACATTTAAAAAAATATTTACAAAATAGTGTAAATATTTAAAAGATCACTACTGTTGGAGAAAAGTCCTTTAGGAAATAGAATGGAGAGGACCGTGAACTACTTAGAGACAATATTTATTTAGTTCATCATTCTAAAAGAAATGCTAGATGATTGTCTAATGAAACAACGAATTGTTAGGCAAGTAGAAAACAGGCAATTATATGCTGTTAGGATGAAATGGATGTACAGAGTCAAAAAGAAAACAAAAATAAAAAAGACAAATGTTTTGCCTAAATCAATTTCTATATTACATAAATTGCTAGTGAGTAGATCTGTAAGAAAGTGGATAATGATGGATAAGTATATGTTTGCTCACATGGAACGAACTGTGCTCACTTGGGCACAGTAATCTCATACAGTGTTGTGGAAAATTGATAATATTACAGCAACAGTAGTTTGTTGATTAGTCTATGTGTTAGATGGCTGTAAGTATTGTAATGTAAGGACCTGACTTTGCAAACTCCATTTTAAAGAAGGGCTTCATCTTATGCCATAGAATGAATGAGCTGGTGGGTGGATAATCTCAGCTACAGAAATGTGCTGCCATAGCAGAAATTTGAACAGATACCCAAAAAAAATGGCCAATTAAGAAGATAGGGAGCAGGGTCATAAAATTTAACAAGGTCCAGAGGTTCCTAGGAGTCATCCTGTCCTTGCAGATACCTTGTCAGTTATTAATGACTCTTTGTTAGGTTTTCGCCCCCCAAAACTGACCAATGGTTTTAGAAACTACTTTATCCTATGCCCTTCTTACCCATTCCCAAGACGACAGGATATGAACTTCCCTGATTACAGCATTTCCCGTTTAAAAGTTCTACCCTCCCAGTGTTCTCTGCCACACTTTCTGCACCCACAAAGCTGGGGTGCTGAAAAGGTGTTGATCCAAACTTGAGTTTGAATATAAAAAACCTCCATGTAATTTGCATCGGAAATCCAGGTCCAGAAACTTGGGCATAACAGTACTTGTATCAAGTTATTTACTTTTTGCTACATCACATAGTTATCATTATAGCAATTTTCTAGCTTAGGTACAATCAGATCAAGGAACTCATAGTTTGTAGCGGCAGCCAGGCTGACTCATGTATTTAGGCAGCACGAGCACAATGGTCTGGCTTACAATACTTTCAGAGCCTGGAAAACCAGTTTAAATCCCATGAACACTGAAGGGAAATGTAAACATCAAATATAGTACTTTAAAGAATGTTATCAACACATTTTCCATGGACCAATGCAACCAGAAGATACAGTTTACAGTGGTTTTTGTTTGTTTGTTTGTTGAGATGGAAAAAGAGTCCTCACAGGTAGTTAGTTTCTAAGGTCCTGAAAATGAGAATTTATCTGCAGTGGCAGAGCTGTGTTTTGATCTCAGCAATGTGTTGCCCAAGCCTTCATTCTCCCTGCAAGGCAACTTGCCAATGTGTTTCTAAAGGGCAAAACTTATTCACACTGTGTGAACGCTTTGGAGGAGTGAATTGAGACAGTAAACAAGGCCATGGGAAATGATTGATAAAAAGTTACTTACAACAATATTCATTGGAAACTAAGGAAATAGTCAATAAAAATATTGATATTAGGTGTCAACTTAGGGATAGGAGAACCGTAGGAACTTCCTATAGGGCCACAGGAATAGGGGGTAGTCTGAGTCACTGCAGGAGTGAGACAGTGAGGCTGACAGGCAGAAGAAGGAATTTGTGCAAGCTCTGGAGGAAGGCAGCACCCATGAAGGGTGTTGTGAAGCAGTTACTACTTTTATTTAAAGAGATTTTATAGCTAAAAGGTCCAGAGCATGTTAAGGCAGCATTGTTTAAACACAGAGCCACGTCAGCACATCCAGTGATCTCCTAACACTAGAAATAGTATATGAGCATGAAGGTGTGTTCACAAGCACAGTGTCACAAAAGCTGAGGAGCCAAAGAATTCAGCCAGCAGAGTGATGTAGCTGATGTTCACTGGAAACTTGACACTATTTAGACTCATCTGGGAGATGGGCCCCTGACAGTGCCTGTGATTCTCTTGGGAGAATCACAAGACCAATCTTAAGCATAGGCACGAGGGCGGGGGGTATATTCCATGGACAGGGATCCTGGTCTACAGACAAAGAAGAAGTATGATGAGTCTCTCTCTCCCCTCCCTCCCTCCCTCCCTCCCTCCCTCCCTCCCTCCCTCCCTCCCTCCC